TCTGGATTCTTAATGTCATTTACACCTTCGTTAGTTAATATAATTAACAATATTTATATAACTGTAATTGCACGGTATCGCTTAAGTCTTACTTGTTAATTAAGTTATATAATTTACGTCTTTTTATAAGTAATAATGAATTCTGTACCTATATCAGACACAACGTAAGACCCTACTGCAATCTCTTCGGGCCAGTGACGAAGAGGCAAAGACAGCGTTCGATGAAGGTCCATCGTTATCGTCCGGAACAGCTGCTGCCAAGTTGATAATCAACCTCGCTGCCGGTCTATCCGGGTGCAACCACGTCATCATCTGCGCCTACGTACGATCGGACGTGCTACCGGTCTGCCGATTTTTCACCAGCGAACTAGAGCTAGGCCCGGAAGGTATCAAGCGAAATTTTGGCTTGCCGAAAATCTCGGCTGCGGAGTTACTCATGATCGAGCAAGCGATACCTCTCATTAACGAGCACGTCGACATGGCGGTTACCGCAGTCCAGATGGAGAGGACGCGCACTAGGACGCGATGACGGACTCGAGACTGTAGTTCAGAAAATCTTGCAGAATTGAAATCTTATGCGAGTATCTCGGGGTGTTTATGGTTTTATTGCGACAGCTGTATTCAACTTCATATCATGCGCTTCGTCGTATACTCGTAAGTTGTAACTTTACTGTAAATAAAGGATAAATGTAGCTTATATTATTAAACGAATAAAAACAATTAGTTGATACAACAATCGCAATATTGAGAGGTCAGGAGCGAAGATTTTTTTGGGCCTTGTGTGGAACGTTTAAAAGTGAATTTTTTAAATGAAGTTTTAAAAAAGATTTCAAGGGGTGCTTGCAGATGGACTTTGAATTGAAGACAACCTAATCGATGCCAACTAAAAATATACAATATTAATGCTACAATTTTGCATTCAATAATGTAACTGTTGTGTAACACTCTTTGTTCTATATTAATTCTTTAAATTCTTTCAAGTGGAATCTTAATCTTACTCTAATGAGTGAAAATTG